GAAAACAATTGGAAATCCAACGAGGCGTTTTGGGGAGGTCTTTTCTGTGTTAGAGTTTTACTCGCGGCAGGGTGTACTTTGAGGTTTTTGACTGCAGACCGTTTACATGCAGAAAAACCTTCATAACACACAAGGGGACGGGTGATAACCGGAAAAGCATGACCTGGGACCTTTGACTTGAATTAATGAAAGTTCACTTTGTTTGATCATTTTATTACATATTATATTACATTATATTTTTCCATATTAAAAATGAAATCATACATAAGATAACCTAATATTGACTGTTGTAAGAAAACAGTCAACACATTTGAAACATTGGGGAGAGTAAGATGAGCCAATTTGTATTTATGATGTCCTTCATTTACTTATTGAGTTATCGAATAAAGTGTGGATACTGAGGCGTGTACCACATGTAAGTCTATACTCTCTATTGTAATAATGTAAATGTCCCGTTGCAGGACAAATAAAAGGATCTTGCTTCAGGGTTCATGTGGGGTAGAGCTGGGCGTCCTGCAGCAGCTCGGGGTCCAGCAGATCATCCGTGTATATGTCCTCCGTTCTGAGGGGAGAAAACATCTTTTTCAACCAAACATGCACCGAAACCCAAGAATGTTAGAATATGTTCAGTTACTGTGATGGCACTGCCTGCTAGAGTTGCTCTTTGCATTGTGTCTGTTTTTATCTAGTTCCCTTTCTCTGGAACCAGCTTCCTGTTTTTATCAGAGAGGGAAACAGTGCTGAAGACTTTCCCTTTTAAGAGAAGTGGCTGCGTTCGTATTTCAGTTAGAAGGTTGTTGGTTAGATCCCAGCTCGTGCAGTCAACATGTCGATGTGTCCTTGGGCAAGATACTGAACCCTGAGTTGCTCCTGATGGCCAACGGTGTGTGAGCGTGTGTGTGTGAGAGTGTGTGTGAGAGTGTGTGTGTGAGAGTGTGTGTGAGAGTGTGTGTGAGTGTGAGCTTCCCTAGAGCAAGTGGTGCTGCTCTGCATGAATGAGGTGTGAATGGGTGAATGAAGAGCTTTGAGGGGTCGAAGAGACCTGATAGAGAGATCTATAAGTGCAGTCCTTTTTACCAAAGCCTATCATTACATCTGGTTTTAGATTACCCTATGTCTGCCTTCCTGATTTCTACATTTTACGGTATTTTATTAATGTTTTCATTGTATTTTTATTGTCTCTCTGTTGCATTTTACCTCATTTTATTTGTATTTCACGTTATATCTCTTTCCATTAATTGTCTGTAATTGTATTTATCTTTTTTTTTTCATCTCTGTTTGTTAATCTGTAAAGCCCACTGAGACAAACATGTTTTGTGATATTGGGCTATATATAAATCAGCTTTGATTGAATTGATAGTACATATGTTATAAAAACAACTTAGTGGTCCGATTAGCATAACTTAATAAATATATGAATAATACTTACATCACTTCGATTGTGTCTTCAAAAGCGACCTCCTCCACCACCTGCACTCCAACCACCATCCTCCTCACTGCAGGAAGCACAACACTGCTGTCAATTAGTGGTAACATTTAACTAAGTACACTCGTTAAAGTAGGCCTACTGTTCTTAAGTACAATTTTGGTGTACTTGTAATTTACTTCCACTGTGTACGTTTCAGAGGGACAAATTGTACTTTTTACTCTTCTACATTAGTGAAATAACTTTGGCTGCTTTGTGGCAATTGTGCAGAATAAGTACTTTTTTACTTTTGGTACTTTAAGCATATTAATGCTTATACTTTTGTCTCTTCACTTGAGTAAATAGTGAGAAACAATACATATTTCTCAAGTGTTTGTTAATCATAGAATTCTGTCTTTTTAATCAGAAATCTCACTTTGAACTAACTTTAGTTGAGTTCTCAAAAATAATTAGTAGAACTAAAAGGAATAATTTCTGTCTCGTTTAAAAGTGTTGGTTTATAAATCAGAATACTATAATAATTAATCAAGCTTGTACACTTCAGACTAGATCAGAAGTACATATTACATATTTAAACATGATGCATCCCCCTCAGTTTGGGTGTTGTATGACTTTTCACGACATTTCTAAAGATTAGGTACATTCCATTTTTTAACACAGATGTATACGTAGAAATATGTCTTTCAGTTAAGTAGAGATTTTCAAAGTAAGGGCTCGTCCGGGATTTGAACCCGGGACCTCCCGCACCCGAAGCGAGAATCATACCCCTAGACCAACGAGCCACTTGAAAAAAAGCACAGAGGGGGCGTCGCTATTACTACTCAAGTAGAGTTCAGTGTGGAGTACTTGAGTAAATGTATTTGATGACTTTAGAACACTGTATATTAACAGGCACACATAAAACATAGAATAAAATACAAATAGAATAAAGTAAAAAATAAACAAAAGGTTAATATATCAATAGTAAAAAACGATCAACAGATTATCTATAGAGTAAACAATATAAAATATGCAGAATAAGAATATAAATCTACTGCAAAACACATAAACATATGATTACAAAAGTGTGCAGCTGCACTTTCTTTTTATTAAAATATTAATTTAAAGGTCTCCTATTATACTATTTTTAGGCATATATTATAGGTCTCAGATAAATAAAAAAATATGTCAATGAAGTGTTTTGCTCAAAATACCAAACAGATCATCCGTTCTAGCCTCAAATCCCTTTCAGCTGTTGCTAAGGTGCAGATTCTGGGTCAGTAGGTTTAACAAAAAAGAAAACTCTCTCCAGTACAGGCTAGCTCTGAGTGTTAGTGATGCTTGCTTATGTAAACACAGACCATATTACTTCCAAAACACGTCTCATTGTTTCTGATTGGCCCGTGGGTGTAAAGCCCGCCCACATTTCAGATATTACGTCATATCGGCCGCAAATCTTGATCA